TGTATTATTATTATTTTGAGACAGGGTCTTGAGAAGTTGCTGAGGGCCTTATTAAGTTGCTAAGGCTAGTTCAAAACCTCTCCATTCTCCCCACCCAGCTGCTGGGATTACAGATGTGTGCCGTCATTCCTGGCTACATATTGCTTTTGCATACTCATGGTCTCTGTCAGGGTAGTGTGAACACAGTTACCTAGAAAACACCAGGAAACTACCTCTGGGGAAGGGATCCAAGAGACCAGTTTAGCACTATAAGGAGGCTTGCTTTCAACTATAATCTTGTTAACTATTAAATTTTATACTACAACTTAAATTATTTTTAACTAAATAAAATAATTATGTTTTAGTAATCTCTAACTTTTATGTTCTTCAAGATTTATTAATATCCACAAGATACATTCTCCGATACTGTCCTCAATCATTATTTCTTTCATATGCTGTTTTATTTCCCTACCCACATCACAAAAACCCCAAAGATCAAGATCAAATGTTACCTTTCCTGGGTAGGGACTCTTGGAGGTTAGCACCAGGTCATGTGCAATGTTAACAAACAAATGTTCCATGTGACATCAGGTGCCCAGTCACAGGATGGTGCCCCCACCCTGGTCTCATACAGATGTGCCCCTTACATTCAAACCAAAAACCTGCAGTTCACCAAGGTGAGGAATACAAATAAAAAGGGGGCAGTAAGCTTGGGCTTAATTTCCCCAATTTACGGATTAGAAACTGAAGCTCAAAAGGTTATGTAACTTAAGCAAGGGCCCACAACTTGCAGAAATGAGCTGTTTAAAACCAGGTTTGGCCATCTCCAAAACACACGTGCTTAATTAACCCCAATGCCTTCTGATTGCTGGTATTTTTAGGGAGCACACATGTGGGACTTTTGCTACCATCTGAAGGCATTTCTAACAAATGGTGCTTTTGTTGTTGTGGCTGCTCAGCAACAACCACACTCACTTTCTCAAGTTTCAGAAGAGCTTTTGGTGACGTCCTGCTGTATACCTGAGCTGAGGCAACTGCCCAAACACCATTGTTCACATTTTCTCTTAGGGAGCATTGTATGATACTGAAACTAGTAGTGAGGGCGCTGGCACGCAGTTTTCTTCCATTATTGGAGGATTTATGGTTCTTTGGAAGAAATAAGATAATTGTGGAGCAGAAAATCTGTCTGAATTAAAAGGTCATGGCTCTAAATAAATCATGCATTTTTTCTCTGAACTGGTTTCCTCCTCTGTAAAATGAAAATGATGATCAGACTTACCCTTCATGTTTATTATTAAGGATCAAATGATACTTCGTATGTGGGCCCAATCAATTGTTTCTACACAGATAAATAGCTATGACCACCAATAACCTTTCAGAAGAAGCCAGTGGCCTCAGCATTAGGATCTCGGGTTGTTCGGTCTGAAGTAGATGATGGAAAGTTAGCATCCTGGTGCACAGCTGCAGTCTTAACTTCCCCTCCTGCCTTATGTGTCCCTAACCTTCCCTTATTGTCTGGTGGTCTTCTGTGCTGACCTTGCTGCCTCAAGAACAGCCTTCTGTTAATATGTCAAACATTGGAGAAAACAGCAACGAACCACGAACCACTCCTCAGGGAAACCAGACTGCTGTAGGTATTTTGTTAAATTATCATTATGTGGGCAGCCACTAAAAGTGTTTGGAGGGAGATGATACAGTGGTTAAAAGCCAGGGTTCTAAGCTTGGATGTGGATTCAAACCTTGATCCCAACTCTGATTAGGTCAGTCTGATTAGACTCAGGTCCCTCGAGTTTCTGACCTCATCCATAAAATGGACATAATCACAGAAACTACCTAATGTACTTCAAATTACTTAATTTGTGTTTCCAAGCACAGGGAGCAGTACACATCAAACATCCCATGCACGTTGACCACAACTATGAAGCAGACCCAGACAGAAACACAAGATCACAGAAATGCACAGCAGAGACAAGCACCCATTGGGACACCCAGCTCTCACCACAATCACAATCATCTGTCTCCTCCTTTGTTCCCCCTTCCCAGGTCTCCACTGTTGTCCCCAAGATGAGGTGGAAATCGTGAGTGGGCAGAGAGGAGTGATTTAGCCTCTCACAGGTTTGTCAAAGGCAGCCAAGTAGAAAGTGGAATGATAGTTTAATCAAATCATGCATTTGCATTTTTCTAAGATACTAAGTTAGTGAAAAGAAAAAAGGAAAATATTTGGGAAACTGTTTGGCCACATGTATTCAGAGCAGTAAAATCATTCATATTGCTTGCCTCTTGATGACATAACTTATAATTCGTTCTCCTCTTAGAGTTCATCATTCAATCCAAAAAAGAAGGAAAAACTACCTGTAAGAAGATGTTCATTACATTATCTTTAAACAGCTTTACTGAGAAATAATTCAGTCTTTTGAAGTGTACAACTCACTGGGGTTTTTAAAAGTATATTCATAGAATTCTGCAAGCATCACCACTAACTCCAGAACATTTTTGTCACCCCCGCAAAAAAAAAAAAAAAAACATTTAGCAAGTACTCCTCAACCTTCCCTCCCCCACTGTGGTCCCAGCAACCTCAAACTACTTTCTGCTTCTTGAGGTATCATTTTTTCCCCATATTTTCATTGGCACATTATAGTTGTACATAATGGTGGAATTCATGGTCACATATTCATACATATACAACCTCCCCCGGGGTTTCCCCTTCTCCTCCCCTTTTCTTTCCCCTGCTGGTCTCTTTCCTCTACTCTACTGATCCCCCACTGATTTTCACAGGACCCTCCCCCACCTTTCTTTTTCTTGTGGCTTCATTTTTAATAACCCAGAAAACTGAATGAAATAAGCTCAGTGTTAAGAGTATATAAGGGTATGTTAGCCAAATTATGGCATATCCATTCAATAAAATATTGTATGGTTATTAGAAATTACTATTGTAAGAATGGGGGATATAGGTCAGTAGAGAATGTGTGCTTAGTATTCAACCCCCCCAAAAAAATAGTTATATATAAGGAAAAGAAAAAGAACTATAGTAACTGGCAAAATATACTCTATATAATGTTTGAAACTTTTTAAAATACCAAATGATGAAATTAATCTGATCTCAACTGAAGAACAGTCTAGTTTGTATGTGGACAACCTGGAAGGAATTGTAAAAATTTTAAATGGTCATATTAGAATATTTCAAATCACTTTTCTTTAGCTTTTAAATATTTTGTAACTTTTTAACAAATGCAATTTTTTAAAAACCTATTTTAAATTGTTGCTTTAATAAAGGGAACAACCAGCAGACAGTCCAGCACCCTCTTCTGACTTGGAAGAGCCCTAAGCTATGAATGGCCCCACCTCTCCCAGACAGCAGAACCCTCCCTCACACAGCAGACTTTCAGGCCCACACCTTTTGACCTTTGTCTTTTACTCTGTACCTTCTTCCCTCTCCAAACACCTTCCAACAAAGCTCCCTAACTTAGCACACATACCAAAGATGAATGCCTGGTCAATTTCCTTCTATTCATATATTAACTGAAGGACAAAATCCTGATGCCAGCCATATTGGTGGAAACAAAATAACCACTCTCTTCTTCCACTTCCAATGTCTACTGTGTATAGACACACCTCAAGTGGTTACCATCACTCTCTTCCCTCTTCCCATAATGATCTGAGACAAAGGAAATGAAGCTAATACTGCACACATATCCATATTCTTTCTCTCTCTCTCTCTCTCTCTCTCTCTCTCTCTCTC